GAGGGCGTGACCTTTCCACTTTGAGCTTGACCCAGAACCTGGAGGGCGTGACCTTTCAACCAAAAAGACGTTGGTACTTGCTTTGACCAGACCCGGGAGGACGTGACTTTTCCATCCGATTTGCAAAGCTTGACGTTTGGTGCTGCCTTTAACCAGAACCTGGAGGGCGTGACCTTTCCATCCGGTTTGCAAAGTTTGACGTTTGGTGCTGCCTTTAACCAGAACCTGGAGGACGTGACCTTTCCATCCGGTTTGCAAAGCTTGACGTTTGGTGCTGCCTTCAACCAGAACCCGGAGGGCGTAACCTTGCCATCCGGTTTGCAAAGTTTGACCTTTGGTGCTGACTTTAACCAGAACCTGGAGAGCGTGACCTTTCCATACAATTTGCAAAGCTTGACGTTTGATTCCGTTATTTCAACTTTGCATCCTCGATGCTCTTATTGATTTTATAAACAGTGGCAATGGCTGGGGCTGAGCCTAGTACCCCACATAGATTCCTTTTCTGATATGGCATCCGGCTAAGCCAAGAACCGGCAAGACGTTTATTTGCATCACCATGGCATCTAAATACGAGCACCTCCAGCACTTCCACGTCCAGCACTTCAACGTCGGGCACAAGTACAGCGGGCACAAGTACAGCGGGCACAAGTACTTCAAGCGCTTCCACGTCCAGCACTTCAACCGGCAGTACCAGCACATCCTTCGGCAGCACAAGCACCTCAAACACTTCTGGTCCAAGCACCTCCACAAGCAGCACTTCTACATCCAGCACTTCAACGTCCAGCACCTCAACAAGCAGCACAAGCACTTCCAACACCCAGCAGGCAGTTGGAGCACAAGCACTACCAGCACCACTGTAAACACCACTAGCACAACTTCAACGTCTACCTCAAGCACATCAACAAGGTTTACCAGCAGGAGTACCTCCAGCTCATCCACCTCAAGCACTTCCAGTTCAAGCACTTCTGAGGCCGCCTCATAGATTCCTTTTCTGATATGGCATCCGGCTAAGCCAAGAACCGGCAAGACGTTTATTTGCATCACCATGACTTCTAAATACGAGCACATCTGGCACTTCCACGTCCAGCACTTCAACGTCGGGCACAAGCACAGCGGGCAAAAAAACTTTAAGCACCTCAACCAGCCGTCCTAGCACATCCTCCAGTAGCACAAGCACCTCCAGCACTGTCACGTCCAGCACTTCAACTTCAAGCACAAGTACTTCAACCACCTCAAAAAGCCGTACCGGCACATTCCTATCACAAACCCCAGCACTTCCATGTCCAGCACTTCAACATCAAGTATGAGTACACCAAGCACAAGTACTTCCAGCACCTCCACATCCAGCACCTCAACCAGCAGTACCAGCACGTTCTCCAGCAGTACAAACACATCCGGCACTTCAACGTCGAGCACAAGTACTTCCAGCTCCTCCACATCAAGCACCTCAACCAGCAGTACCAGCACATCCTCCAGCAGCACAAGCACGTCCAGCACTTCAACGTCCAGCACAAGTACTTCCAGCTCCTCCACATCAAGCGCCTCAACCACTGTAACCACCACTAGCACAACTTCAAGGTCTACCTCAAGCACATCAACAAGCTTCACCAGCAGGAGTACCTCCAGCTCATCCACCTCAAGCACTTCCAGTTCAAGCACTTCTGAGGCCGCCTGATAGATTCCTTTTCTGATATGGCATCCGGCTAAGCCAAGAACCGGCAAGACGTTTATTTGCATCACCATGGCATCTAAATACGAGCACCTCCAGCACTTCCACGTCCAGCACTTCAACGTCGGGCACAAGTACAGCGGGCACAAGTACTTCAAGCGCTCCCACGTCCAGCACTTCAACCGGCAGTACCAGCACATCCTTCGGCAGCACAAGCACCTCAAGCCCTTCTGGTCCAAGCACCCCCACAAGCAGCACTTCTACACCCAGCACTTCGTCCAGCACCTCAACAAGCAGCACAAGCACTTTCAACACCTCAGCCGGCAGTTGGAGCACAAGCACTACCAGCACCACTGTAACCAACACTAGCACAACTTCAACGTCTACCTCAAGCACATCAACAAGGTTTACCAGCAGGAGTACCTCCAGCTCATCCACCTCAAGCACTTCCAGTTCAAGCACTTCTGAGGGAGGCCGCCTCATAGATTGCTTTTCTGATATGGCATCCGGCTAAGCCAAGAACCGGCAAGACGTTTATTTGCATCACCATGACCTCTAAATACGAGCACATCCGGCACTTCCAAGTCCAGCACTTCAACGTCGAGCACAAGTACATTGGGCACAAAAGCTTCAAGCACCTCAACCAGCCGTCCTAGCACATCCTCCAGTAGCACAAGCACCTCAAGCACTTTCACTTCCAGCACTTCAACTTCAAGCCAAGTACTTCAACCACCTCAACAAGCCATGCCGGCACATTCCTAACACAAGCACCTCCAGCACTTCCATGTCCAGCACTTCAACATCAAGTATGAGTACACCAAGCACAAGTACTTCCAGCACCTCCACATCCAGCACCTCAACCAGCAGTACCAGCACGTCCTCCAGCAGTACAAACACATCCGGCACTTCAACGTCGAGCACAAGTACTTCCAGCTCCTCCACATCAAGCACCTCAGCCAGCAGTACTACCAACACATCCTCCCGCAGTACCAGCACCTCCAGCACTTCAACGTCGAGCACAAGTACAGCAAGCACGAGTACTTCAAACACTTCCACGTCCAGTACCTTAACCAGCAGTACCAGCACATCCTCCGCAGTATAAACACCTCCAGCTTGTCCACTTCAAGTACTTCAACGTCAAGCCCAAACACATCAAGCACACGTGCATCAAGCACTTCAACCAGCAGTACCGGAACATCCTCCATCAGCACAAACACCTCAAGCACTTCCAGCCCAAGCACCTCCACATGCAGCACTTCTATATCCAGCACTTCAACGTCCAGCATGCCAACAAGCAGCACAAGCGCTTCCAGCACCTCAACCAGCAGTTGTCCAGCACTTCAACATCAAGTACAAGCACAAGTACTTCCAGTACCTCCAGATCAAGCACCTCAACCAGCAGTACCAGCACGTTCTCCAGCAGTACAAGCACGTCCGGCTCTTCAACGTCGTGCACAAGTACTTCCAGCTCCTCCACATCAAGCACCTCAACCAGCAGTACCAACACATCCTCCCGCAGTACCAGCACCTCCAGCACTTTCACGTCCAGCACTTCAACGTCAAGCACAAGTACAGCAAGCACGAGTACTTCAAGCACTTCCACGTCCAGCACCTTAACCAGCAGTACCAGCACATCCTCCGCAGTATAAACACCTCCAGCATCTCCACGTCCAGCACTTCAATGTCGAGCACAAGCATAGCGAGCACAAGTATTTCAAGCGCTTCCACGTCCAACACCTCAACAAGCAGCACAAGCACTTCCAGCACCTCAGCAGGCAGTTGGAGCACAAGCACTGCCAGCACCACTTTAACCACCACTAGCACAACTTCAACGTCTACCTCAAGCGCATCAACAAATTTTACCAGCAGGAGTACCTCCAGCTCATCCACCTCAAGCACTTCCATGTCTAGCACTTCTGAGGCCGCCTGATAGATTCCTTTTCTGATATGGCATCCGGCTAAGCCAAGAACCGGCAAGACGTTTATTTGAATCACCCTGACTTTATATACGAGCAAATCCAGCACTTCCAAGTCCAGCACTTCAACGTCGAGCACAAGTACAGCAAGCACAAGTACTTCAAGCACTTCCATGCCCAGCACCTCAACCAGCAGTGCTAGCACCTCCTCCAGCAGTGTAAGCACCTCCAGCTTTCCACTTCAAGTACTTCAACGTCAAGCACAAGCATATCTAGCACAAGTACATCAAGGACTTCAACCAGCAGTGCTAGCACATCCTCCGGCAGCACAAACACCTCAAGCAATATTTTTACCTTCTCACCGGTGACCATGCCTTTTCCCTCCGTGCCGCTGATTATTGGAGAGCCTACTTCCGCATCCCAATCCAGAATGGCAACGACACGTACTACGCCTTCAACATCAATCAGCCCCAGCCCACAACTACTTCTCAACCACCTACGATCCCGGTACTAGCCGCCCAACTTCGAGCCTGCCCTTTTGGCCAATCCGCATGTGGCCTGCACCTACGTCCTCATCATCGACAACTACAGGTGGCCTTCCTAGTGATCAATTGCAGGCACTGGCCCAGGGACTTCACGCACTGGCCTCATCGAGCCGTTCTGACACATCTGAGACGACACCACCAGCCTGGACGGCCCTCCGCTGCTGAGCTGTTCCTCGGACAAAAAACGACCCTGCTGCGGCAGGGTGTGTGTGTGAAACGTCTGTATAGACGTAAAACTTCCATGGCATTGTTGAATCTGGTATTTTGGTACTATTTCAGTTTTCAAACAAGCAGGGGGATGGAGTGTGCCTCAGATGTCTCCATCCAACGAAGACGCATCTGTTGCACAGTGATATGGATTGGGGACGCTCAATCCACGTACCTGCTCAATATTTTTTCATTTTCGTCCATGGCCACCGGCTAAGCCAAGAACCGGCATGTCGTTTTATTCAACCTCAACTTATTCAACTTCAACCTTTTTACATAGTTTTACACGGTCGCCGCAATCTGATTGAGATCTGAACAATCCTTTGGGTTTATAATACACTATCGCCGACACATCGTCGCCGATGCATACTGGTTGGACAATCTTCGCCGACGACATCGCCGATGACATTACTTTTGGTTGATTAACGTCCCGATCCTTATTCTATTCTTTTTGAAGTCGATTCAGGGCATGGAGAACATTCAGGAGAACTTCCATTATTCGTAGGATGCATCGTTAATTTCATTGTTTCGTATCTAATCTGCATGTTTCAGGATTCAGTTCCTGCCGGATCATATAATGATCCATTTTTGTCTAGTGTGTGTAACCCATCGAATCATGTGTTTCCCATGGCCCAACGTGGACATACCTGGACCAGATTCGAGGCTGCTCGCCGTGCAGAGGAGCTAGCGCAACAGCAGCGGGAGGCACCTCTTAGGCTGCCTCGAGTAATGTATGACTGGAGATGTTAAATCCATGTGCACGTGAATATGTAACACACACACACATATATATTATATGTGTGTGTGTGTGTAATACTATATAATTATATTATATTAGCATATATATATATATACATATTTGCTACTGTTTATTTATTGATGGATAAATACGTGCCTGCAGACAGATATATATATATATATAGAAACTCGTTATGAGCAATGGTATGGCAATTGGAACATCTCCTGAACATCAAGATTTTTGCAGATGGGATTTAGTTTTGCTTGATTTTGCTCGCAGGTGTACATGATATGACAACATGTGACATCTGTGCAGGCAGAGCAAGACGCCCTGGTGTGGCTCTGAGAGGGTTTGGCTCAGTTGGCTCAGTTGGCTCAGTTGGCTCAGTTGGCTCAGTTGGCTCAGTTTCCAGCTGTTTGTTCAAGCTGAGACATTCTCTTGGAACGACATTTGTTAGTTTTGCTGGTTCCCATCCACCAAAGACTTGCCCAAGACAGTGGACGTCGAGGTGAAATCCTGGCAAGTGGAGGTGGAGCAAATGAAGGCCGAAATCATCTGACATCCCATCGTCATTGGCAGCCTCCAATGGGAAGGGCGCCACCTCTCGACATGTTCCAACTGCAGGTGGAGAGAAACTCTGCAGTGTCCGGTGCCTGAGAATGTGGATCCTGGAATCAACTACCATCAACTACCATCGTTATAACCGTTATAACCTTTGCCCATATTTCACAACTCGGAACAAACCATCGGGACACTACCATCAATTACCATCAGGTTAGATAGCCATGACTGCCCAATTCCCCATATTCTTCGCTATTTTTCCCATTTTTTCCCCGATGTTTTGGGCTTGGGACACCAGGCAAAAGGCTGAGGAGGCCGAGGAACATGCGAGGCGCCAGGTGCCCCGGGTGCCCCGGGTGCGCTGGGCGCTGGGCTGGCCATGGATCACCTGGCGCCGTCCGGCACAACACGTGTGTTGGAGGTGCAGGATTACCACTGGGCGACAGCAAAGCAGCTCCAAGAATTGGAGGAAACTTGGCTGATCTCAGATGATCTTGGCTGATCTTGGCTGTTTGGCTTTGCCAGACCAAGGACTTTTGTTCACCAGAGTTACCCTCTGGTAATTTAACATAGCTATTGAAAATGGCCATTTATAGTGGAATTTCCCATTAAAAATAGTGATTTTCCATAGCTATGTTAAATTACCAGAGGGTACTTGTAGCCCTGGTCAGGAGCGCATCACCCAGCTGCAATCCCTTCTGAACGAGGCAAGCACATGTGTTCTGTGAGCATCGAAGGGGGTGAGGTTTCCGATTTCTGAATATGAACATCTTGCACCAGTTTGGATGCCTAATGATGCCTAATTTTTTGCGACTTTGGTGGGTTTCATTTGTTTCATGTCGTTGGCAGCGTCCATCTCTGATGGGTTCACAGCAAGATTCTTGTCTGTGCCAGGAACGTTCGGCCCACGCAGTAGAGCTTGCACATCAAGCTGACCTAGTTGCGCAGGCGAAGAGTAGCTGAACGGAGAAGATAGTGAGGGACATCCAAAGGGCTGGTTGTTGCAACATTGCGCAGCGACTTTAACAACTATCGGGACATGGGCATTGATGGCACTCACCCACCGCACGGAAACCAACATCAAAATACATCAAACAATTGATTAGAGTTAGAGCCTAAACCTGGAAGAATTATTTAACGACTGCTTTGTACTGTATTGTATATCGGTACTGTTTTAATATATTTGATAGTAATTATTGATCCATAGTGATCCCCTCCATATTTGATCATATTTCATCATATTTATCTGATTTGCTCCAGGTCCGTCGTGAGGCCGACATGCAGATCAGGGAGGCAGAACACAGACATCGCGCAGAGCTGGCTGCAGAGCAGGAACGTGTCAGAGAAGCGCATGAGATGGTCGAACTGATACAGTCAGGGATGCCCAGATCGTGGACCTGTCCAGTTGGGACTTTGGGACATGGGAAGACAACTTCGATATTTCAAATATGAACTTCGAAGAACTTCGAATAATTTCGATGAACGAAAGCATGGCAGCTCTTTACAGGGCCATGGGATGCCTCTGATTCCGCAGCAAGTTACTGTCGCGAGGGAACGTGCCAACAAAGATGTGACGGCGGCCCGTGCCCGGGAGGCGTTGCTGGAAGGGGCTGCAGGTGGTCAGAAGAATTTGCACGTGTCAATCCTGGCTAGTGTCTTAGCGTCAAGTGATCACTCATTATGAAATCATTATGATCGTTGTGACCATGTCAATGTATTACAATGTATCAATATGTATTAATCATATTTGATCTGATTATTATGACTTTGATCAATGTATCTCTCTCTCTCTCTCTATATATATATATATCTATATCTCCATTAAATGGATTTCCGCGGCATCCAGCGAATGAAAACGGCTTGCCAGGAAGCCAGGATTGCCAAGATCCGCTCACAAGCCGAGACTCGAACGTCCATAGCTCAGAAATAGGTAGTGCTGTAGTACTGAAAGTAATCACAGTTTAGGGATGTTTAGGGTAGCCACGTAGCCCACATTTACTCTCGCTTCTTGACAGGCGGTGTGGCAGTAGGTGGATAGACAGGTAGGAAGGTATGCAAGCAGGTTAAAAGCCAGTGGATCATCAAAGAAATGCGACAGTTGTCATCACTCCAGAATCACCGTTCTCCCAGGCGTGAGCTGGAGAAGAAGATGCGGGAAGAAGCCAGCATGAGGCCCGCTACGAGACTTTGTAGGGATCCTGGGAGGATCCCTAGAGCGAATGAAGTTCATGGCTGTTAATTAATCTTGAATGAAAATGGTTGTGGTAACAGTGGTAACCCTATACTGGGATGCATCCAGGATATATATATATATATATATCAATTCTATATTTGAATTATATTTGCAAACTGATTCTTCCTAACTTCAGGAATCCCAAATCCTGATTTTCAGGGACCACCATCTCATTGAGCGGCAGCGCTTGATGGAGGAAGCACTGTTGGGAGCCCAGTGATGAAGCCGGGCTTCAGTGGCGCGTATCCCGAGTCTCCCGTGTTGATATCAGTTGACCATTGGAATGCTCCCTGCTATTGAATGATTTGGACACACACACACATAATATATATATATATAGTTAGATCATGTTGGATCATCTTGATCACTGCGTATTTGACATCACTATATCATCACTATATCATCACTATATCATCACTATATCATCACTATCCTAGTATTTTGATTAAATAATTATCATCATATGATATCTCCATGTTTGTCCAGGCATTTGCTGCTGCCAGGTATGCCCATGGCCAGGAGAAGGCTGATGCCATTCGATCCGCTCAGCGGCATTTGGCCGCCATGGAGCAGGACAAATTGGGGGAAATGGACAGCCACGGGTGTTGGACATTTGATGAAAAATCAGAAAAAAAAACAGGTCATCACAGATATAGTCAATCATACTTGCATATGTATATAAGAATATAGATATACAGATCGCGACCAATCATCACTTTTATACCACTTTGGATGGAACCAATAAAAGAGAATAGAAGTGAAAAACTGGGATGGAGCAGAATATTGGAACTTGTTGAAACAAAAACGAGTAGCCATGAGACCAACATGCCCAATATGCACACAAAGTGACGCAAGGAGCTGCAACTGTCCAACGACCAGCGTGACTTGCTCTTTGCTCAGAAGGAGGAACGGCTCAAAGAGGTGGAGGACAGGTGGATGAACATGGCGGCCCTCCCCCGGTTGAATCATGCTTCACAAGGATTCACAAGCAATGAAAATTGAACCCGTTGATATTTCCTCTGACTTAGATGTAGCAGATGTTGCAGGAGACATCCAAGAGAAACACCGAGGAGATGGTGAAGCATCACAAGGAGCAAGTTCTGCAACTTCAGTAAGTGTGGGAAGTCATCAGTTGGGGCACTTGGGGCGGTTTTCAGTTTTGGTGCTGCCCCCCAAGAGTTTCCCAACGTTGTCAGTTTTCTCAGTTTGGCACAGGAGCTGCTGGACTTGGAAAGAGCTCTGCATGCCAGGAGACGATGGCGGTGCGATGCATTCTATGGTCGGAGATCGTCGGTTGTACTTTCATAGTCTGTGTATTCGGAATATAGATGATATAGATGATATAGAGGCAGACGTACTTTCACATTGGTGACGTCAAGGGTTGGCATCTGTTGCTGAAGGAGACTTATAAAGGTGTTTCAGCAAGTGTTTGAATCTCTTTGTATCACCACACACGGCTTCATGTGCGCCAGGACCATGGAGCGGACCATGGATCGCCACAGCCTTGAAGCTGTCTGGCGATGTCATGAGCAGGTTAGAATGTGCCGAAGATGAGGAATGTGAAGTGTATGTACATACTTGCAGGTATGCCTGTGGCATTTTGTTACCATACACGAAGAATTCATCAAATATCTATGCCATCTATGCCCTCAATGCCTCAGTGCATTGAACGTCCAAGGCGTGGTGCAACACCTGAAGCTGACGCCTGAGCAGCAGCTTGATGTCGCCCCGCCGCCATAGAGGCTCTGGCTTCGTTGAATGGGCCCTTGGAGCACAGCTCAGCCAAGCTGAGCCAAGCTGAGAACATCCCCGGACAAGAAGTCAGGGAATTGCCATGCGTTGCGTGGCCGGACCAGCACAATGGGCTTGGCTGAAAAGACTTCTCATGATTTCTCATGCTGTTCTAAGTCCGGCTTAGCCGACAAACACAGTCGCCAGTTCACTGACCAAATTTTGTTCTGGGAGCTTCGTTCTTGGCTCTTCAATGACACAAGGACCCATGATGGCTAGAAAGCTGGCACATGCATCAGCTAAGGCCGTTCCACAGGCTATGTCCAGCAAGACCCTCGACCAACACACAAGGTTGAATTCCTGACTTTCTGCCAGCCAAACCAACCGTTAGTCGTCTCCAAAACATCAAAAAGAGAATTCACATAGAGTCATGGAGAGGTTTGGATGTAGATACGGAAATCGTATGAAACTGTAGAAGAGATATGAACAACTATTAGAATATATAATAGAATATATAGATACAGAATGATACAGAATGATACAGAACCATCAGATTAGACTCAGCAACTTCCAGCCATGGCTGCAGCCTTCGCCAAACGGCTCCTGGATGCCTTCGTGGATGCGGGATTGGATCGACAGCAGTGCGACTTCGATGAGGTGCCGGGCATCATATTGGGGAGTGTATGTGAATGCATATAGATATATGCTTAAATAAGTAAATAAATAAATAGATAAATAAATAAATAAATATATATATATTTGTGCATGTAGATCTACAACCAACTAAAATGGGGATCTAACATGATCTAACCACAGATAGAGGTTGAAGCATGTTAAAGCCAATATGATGTTGTGGGGAATTCCCCCGTTGCGGCAGGCTGCGGGGCAGATGATCATCAACAACGACATCACCCGAGTGGTGCCCATTGCAACGCTCTTCGCACAGTACTCGCTCTGTGCTGATGAGGCCGCTGGATGGGAACCGCTGATTTTGGTCATGTTTGGAATGCATCAAAGTGAACCATTTTGTTTGGGCCCAAATTTGAACCAAATGACTGGAGGTTGACAGGATGAAGGCCAATGAAAGCCATCATTCGCACTGTGTCCAAATTGACAGGCGGCCCGCAGCAAGCTGGTGGATGGCGCGATGAAGGTCAGGGAATGGTTTGAGCCATGCCCAAGTGATATTCCGTGAGGATATGACCAACAGTTGACCAACATATTTCAACACCCCAATCAACACCCCAATCAACACCCCAATCAACACCCCAATCATAGATTCCATAGGACCAACATGCACCAACCAGCGCTCCCCGCAGGCCTTCGTGGAAGGCGCTGCGGATGTTCCCAGCAGCATAGCTGAGACGGGAGACCGGCTGCTGCCGCAGCTCTGGAACAAACAGAAGTCCGGGAGCCCAAAAACATCCAGGTGTCTTTTGATACGCAATAGATTCCATGAAGCTTCAAGGTGGAACTACAGATAGACTGGTCCATTCTTTTCAAAGTTCTATCCCCGTTTTAGTTTATTAAATCATGTGAGATCATGCTTACTCATTCATACTCATTCTTGAATATAGTTCAGGATTCACTACAATGTACCCACTGCTATGGTGGGGGAAAGGGGAGTTGACGGGAGGGAGGAGCTCTCTGTTTGAGGATTGCCGCCCGACAGATGACGCTTCCAGCAGGTGTGTTGTGCAGCTGAGCGTGTGGAATTTTGCATCAACAAAGATAATGAAGAGAAACCGGTTCAAGCATGTGTACATGTACATATACATATACATATACATGTACATATACATATACATGTACATATACATATACATACATATATATATATATAAGGAATTGATCAATCAATAAGCTGTTCCCAATCATGCGGTATCAGTCCAGCCGCAGGTTTTGAGCTTCCTCACTGCGGCCTAAGAGGCGAACTGCCTTTGGATGGCGACTTGGGGGTGGTTTTGGTGTGCCACCTGGTTGCACAGCCAGGCTACCATCGACCACCCCATGAAGAGGGAATGACCCACCATGACTTGTCGCAGCTGAGGTGACTACGGAGTTGAAACTTGTCAGATCAAATATTATGACAGTGAATTAGTATGAATTAGTGTATTGTAGTGTGCTCTATTTTACTCCCATTTGTAGCGGATTGTTCACTATGGATGATTCATTTCTTTTTTCTGGATATTTCTGACTTTGGACATGTGTTGCCTATTACAACGGTCGTTGCACTGCGAATCGAGCCGCAAATGTGCAAGTCTGGGTTGGATTGCTGATTGGGCAGCCCCAACTGGGGCACTCGGCATTGTCCAAGATCTGATTATTGAATCAGGAAGAAAATCGTCTGAGGATGGCCTCTCCATCGAGACCCCTGTCCTGTCGAAGGATTTGTCTCGCTGGGGTTGCTTGGCAAATCTTTCTCAGGAATTTTGTTGCATGTTGGTGCTGGATCCGGTTGGAGATAAACAGCGGCTTCTACAGAACATCCTAGAACAACGTATCCGTTTGGGCATCATCAATGGTGATGTGGATTTGTCTAAGGCTTAAGCTTCACTGCAGCACTGGGAAAAGCTTTGGAGAACTTGCGGGCGAGAACGAAGAAGGGGCCATCAGCTGACAGGTGCGATGCCTCCTAAATTTGACATGATACCCGAAAAATGGGACCCCAAAGATGACATTATTACTACATGCTGGCATTTTTGGGTTCCATCCTTAGATATACATACATACATACATACATACATACATACATACATACATACATACATACATACATACATATATATATATATATCTGTGTGTGTGTGTATGTGTGTGTATGTGTGTGTGCGCGTGTCGTCATGTCATGTCGTGTCATGTCATCTAACGTAATATATGTGTATCATGGTGGTGTTTGCACGAGAAGACTGAGGTGGCATGAGTTTTCTGATTTGACGCTGTTTCCATGTTTTACCATTTGACACCGAAACCGGTGTGAATGAAAAAGCAGAAGACTGAAGAAGTGCCACAGCGAATGGATTGCCCCTTCTTAGGCACCATCAACAGGCACGTCTTAGACTTCGATTTCGCAACATGGGTGCTCAAGCATAAGTAAGTAGATTGGATTCCATGCATGAAGGGCCTTGGTCTTGCGATCCTTTGGCTTGCTAGAGTTGCAGAAGTGGGGCTTAAGAACTCCAATCTACAATCACCGAAGATTTACCCCTCTCCTGTGAATCAGACTTGTCATTGTAACTGCAGTTGTATCCACTCGACCCTTGCGCTTGAGAGATTTCCCATTGAATCCTTTGCGGGCACCTTTCTGGCTTTGGTTCTCTGGAAACTTCTGAGCTGGTTGGCAGGGCGTGCCCATGAACCGCTACCGTCCCCGAGACGACGCGGAGCAGGCATTGTCACTATGCCAGCCCGGACAACGACTAGCTGTGTGGTACAATGATGACCACGTGTACCATGAGCGAATTCTAGTCTGGCGAGTTGATGGCAGGTCCTGGTATGTAGTTACACCAGACAAGGATCTCTACGTAGAGGATTTTTCAGGACTGGGAGAAAATGGTCCAGTGTCTTTTAGGGTGAAAGATGTTGACTTTAAGGCTTGGTCACGACTTGGTAAACCGGTGTATCGCTTTTCAAACCCCCCAACTGATGAAGAGTTCCGTGCCTATGTAGCCACTGTCTTGGAAGAGCTGAAGACTTTAAGCCACAACAGTGACTGGCGGCCGTTGCATGTCATCAATATGACGGGAAAGCAGAAAGCAGCTGCCGAGTATCTTGGCCATCTTCTGGTTGCTCCCCCTCATCCCAGACGGCGTGACGGCGGACATCTGGAGCAACCTGAAGAAGTCGGCGTGCCGGTGGCTGAAGAGGGCATGACTTGGCTGTGCTACTCAGCTTCAGCCGATGTTGAATTTGGAGCGCAGGTCGTTGATGGACTTGCCCGTGGCGTCAAGTTGGATAGCGACTATTGTGCCGTGCCCACTCCAAGTGGTTGGATGTTGTGCCGAAAGGCAACTGTAGCTGGTGCACCTGAACTTGTTGAGCAAGGCCGAGCCAATATTGCAGTGGCCAGTGCTATTGCTGGGCCAGCGGATCAGATCCCAAGCTACAACCTCTTGCACCACTAGAAGATTCGGCTGAGGATGATGCTCGCACCCTCATGGTTGAGTACGATGAGCAGGGAGAGCGTTTCAAAGCCTTTAGAGATGTCTGCCGAGAATGCAAGGAGTACGGGTTCGCCGACTGGCCCCACGAAGGGCCACAGACCACTCTCCATGTTCTCAAGTTCATGCAGAAGAATGGCGGTTCTCCCAAACTTTGGCTGCAAGTGTGGTCTCGCCACAAAGGGGTCCATGAGGGCGACCGGGTGATGCATGAGATGCGGGCCTTGGTTGACTGCCTGGAACAGGGCGGGTGCTACGACCAGCTGAACTTGGCCAGCTTGGCCAGTTTTGAATGCCTAGCTCGCCGGATCCAAAGCATTGTCGATGCCTACAACGCTGGAAGTGCTGCCTCTCCTGACTGGGGGGCAGCTCGCATCATCACTGGGTACCAAGGGCCCGAGGACGTAGTGATGCCATCGTTGAGGAGCTGGGCTGCCAAACGCGGCAAAGAGGAAGTTGAATTAGCAGCTGCTCGGACAAAAATCCGAGAACATCGTCGGTTGATTGCACCAGCTGAAGAGGCAGCAGCAGCTGCTGTGGCTGATGGAAGTTTGCCAAGCGGAGGGGCACCTACCAAGCCAAAGCGCAAGGCCAAGGCAAAAACGGTTGCTCCTCCGCAGTCTCCATGACCGAAGGGACCGGAGAGCGGGGCTCAGCCCCTCAACCCGCTCTCCGTGGCTTTGAATCAATGGGGGGCGCCCGACCTGATCCTAGTGCAAGGGCCCGAGACCTTTTTCCTCTGCCTATGCCTTCATCTTTGAAGCTGCCCAAGGGTCTTTCCGATTTCCCGACGCAGTGCCCAAAGGTGGAGTCGCAAATGCCGGCTTCGCGAGACGGAGAGGGAAGCGGTTTTTGCCCTCAACTGGATGGCGGGCAAGCATGATTTTTTGCATGGCACAGAGGAGGCTCCTGACTTGCTACAAGCTGAAGTTCTCCAACGAATTCATGTGTTGGCCACAGAGGCCGGAGAGTTGGGTAGTCTTGAACATGTCCCAGCACCTGAGGCAGCCCTGCGGGAGCTGCTCAAAGGAAGATCAGATTATCAGCAACCTGATATTCCAGTAGCCTTAGCCCCTTACAGACTCGAGCGTGTCTCTCTCCCGACTTCGCTGCACGGCCTGCCTCAGGCCGAAGAGCTGCTGCCGGATGACACCCGTCGATATTTGCAAGGTGAAGAGCTGATGCTGAAGGACGGGGCCATTGAAGATGCTCCCCGTCCATACTGGGACCCAGTGTTAGCCAAGAGTCAAAAACACTACAAGGAGTTTATCAGAAAGCTCGACAGCATTGGCATGTTGCAATATACACCCAAAAACGAGGTAGGGATATTTTTTGTGTACAAAAGCGACAGGCAGCGTATTAGGCTTATCGTTGATGCAAGGTCAGCAAATGTGAGATTCAAGGACCCACCTGGTGTGTCGCTCTGTTCTAGTGAGGGCTTCAGTCGGATTGAGTGTCAGTTGTCAGAACATGCTCGGCCTGGGACACAGGCCTTTGTGGATGAGTTGCAAGCCATGAACATCCACATTCTGAGTGATGTCAAGGACTGCTTTCATCGACTCAAACAGCCGCGATGGTTGGCAGAGTATTTCTGTCTCAAGCCCATCCGTGCAAGCTGGGTCAATCTTGGCGGTACAACATTGGATGGGGTAGCCTTAAAAGACAACGACATTGTTTATCCGATGCCAGGTTCTCTATGTATGGGTTTCAGTTGGTCTCTCTTTTTTGCCCAGAAGATCAATGAGTATCAATGCAGCCTCACAAAGTCTCTCACATGTTCTCGTATTATCAGCGACAAGGGTGATCCAGTTGTTTTTTCGAGCCCCCAGTCCCTTGACAACCTAGAAAGCAGCACCCGGCACTATGTGTATGTGGACAACCTCGGCATCCTTTCCCCCCATGAAGCAGTTGTCCACAGCTCGCTGCAGGAACTGGACCAGCACTTCGGAAGCTCCGGCTTGCTGCTTCATCCTGGAGAGGTGAGCGGGGACAAGACTAAAGCGTTGGGTACAATTCTGGATGGAAAGAACCTGTGTTCAAAAATTACACAAGAACGTTTTCACAGGGTTCGTCAAGCTATCCGAGGGTTGCTCCGCAGAGGAAGATCAACTGGTCAGTCACTTGAAGTCTTGATAGGCCACGCAACTTTCTGTGGCCTCAACAACCGTATGTTGCTTGCAGTTTTTCATACATGCTACAAATTTATTCGACGGCATTATTTTGATCCTTCAACTCTTTGGGACAGTGTTCGAAATGAGCTTCGAGCATTTGCAGGTTTGATGATCTTCTTGCGATCTGACTGGTGGAGGCCCTGGAATGACCTGGTTTGCTGCAGTGATGCTAGCACCACAGGTTTTGGGGTTTGCACAAGTTTTTGGAAAAGAGAAGACGTCATGAGTGTTGGTAGGGTCAAAGAACGGTGTCGCTTTAAACGGAGCTCATCACACTCTGCAAGAGAGGCTTCACTAACATCAGCTGGGTTTGTCAGAGATTCAGTGACTGGTCAGTGGAGGGCTGGAGAAATAGACGGCACAGACTATTTGGAGCAGAGTGGTTGGGAGCTTGTTGACAATTTCCCTGAAGTCCCAGCCAGGCTGCTCCACAAAGACCTTTGGGTGCCTCGATTGTGGGGGAAGTGGAGCTTCGAAGAAAGCATCCTGATTCTGGAGGCGCGGGCTGCCGTCAAAGCCTTGCGGCGTGTTGCCATGAGCGTTTTTGGAAACCATGTCCGACAGCTGTTCTTATTTGACAACATGTCTTTGGTTCTAGCGCTCGAGCGCTCTCGGAGTAGGCAGTTTGGGCTTCTGAAACAGATCAGGTTATTCAACTCGTATTGTATTGCGCGTGGTATTCAGCCTTCTTTTAGATGGTTGCCTAGTGAGTTGAACAATGCAGATGAACCTTCTCGTTATGACACTTTAGAAGAGTCAAAGCTCCTCACTGGCCTCATCCGCGATGTCTCCCAAACGCGTGCGAGTGTTGAAGCCGCCGCTGGTCCCACAGAGCCAAAACAGCGGCTCAAAGTGCCGAGTCCTGAAACCTGGAAAGATGAATGCCAGCCAAGTAACCAAAACGAAGATGAGGGCTCTCAAGGCCAATCCTTTGGAGAAAAGGTTCAAACGAACCATCCCTCTTCCCAAAGTAGTAAAGCTGGAAGATGCCCATTTGGACATGAACATCAACATCAACAAGATGGCCAAAACCTCGGGCTCAGTGTCAAGCAGCTCAGACAGCAGCAGCGAGCCAGAGATGAGCGGCACCCGAAAGCGGCGGCTGGCCGGAAGAGCCAAGTACCGCCGCAAACATTACGTGGACCTCTTGATGGAGGGGAAGGGGCCAGGCGACCTCTCCCCCTTGGAGCGAAGAGCAGTCGGCTCAGCCACCGAGAAGATGTACCTGAAAGAACTGCGGAGCTTCTTGGACTCCACCAAACCGGCTGTTTTCAATCCAGACAACCCAGAGCAGGTGGATCAGTGTTTGGTGCAGCACATGAATCAGCAGTTTCTAGATGGGCACCAAGCCTTCGGGGGGGACCGTCTGATTGCCAGCTTTTTACACCATTACCCTCAGTTCAGCAGAGTTGGGGTCAAGCGCATTCCTCGTGCGCTCAGAGCACTTCGGGGATGGCGGAAGCTGTGCCCTGGAAGATCCAGGGTGCCCTATCCTTTGGCTATTTGGACAGGCCTGGCCTCTCTCATGATTGGGATGGGTTTCAGCGATATGGCAATCTTCACCATGATCGCCCTGTCTACATATGCCCGACCATCCGAACTCCTGAAGATGAAGGTCTTCAGCTTGGTGCGGCCAGTGACAGGCTTGACCGCCAGCTGGAGTGTCCTGATTTGCCCAGAAGAACTTGGCGAACCGTCGAAGATTGGCGAGTTCGATGTGAGTGTCCTGTTAGACTCTCCCTATTTGAGCTCCTGGATTTCAAAAGTCCTCCCGGTCTTCAAGGAACAGGACCCGACACAGAACCTCTGGCAATTCAACTACAGTCAGTACCTGTCGGTCTTCAAGAAGTGCGCCAGCCAGCTGGGCCTCGAGGTGACACCGTACCATGCCCGGCACAGTGGCCCGTCAATAGACCGGGTGAAGCATCACCGGTCACAGCTGGAGGTTCAGAAGCGGGGCCAATGGAAGTCCACCAAGAGTGTTCACAGGTACGAAAAGGCAGCCCGACTGGCGCGCAGCTGGGAGCTGGTGAACCAGAAGGCAAAAGATTATTGCCTCAGCTGCGAGTCCGACTTCACGGGCATCGTCTTAGGGCACAAGAAGCCTCCAAGTACAACCTGCCTCGCAGGAATCCCAAGGGCCTCTACATAGCGGACCTGTTTTCTGGCAATGGCGGCGTTTCAGCAGCCTGTGAAAGATTAGGTTTTTGCGCGAAAGAATGGGATATTCGGCATGGACATCAGTGTGATCTCACTAGCAGAAACATATTAAGCGTTTTGAAGCGGGATATTAAAGCTGGTAAGATTTTGGCAGTTATGCTTGCTCCTCCATGCGATTCCTTTTCCGTCGCGCGAGACCGCATCAAAGTCATCCGATCTGCAGCGTCTCCTTGGGGTTTGCCTTTTCATTTATTGACAAGCCATGAACGTTCAGCTATCAAACGGGGAAATGCTTGTTTCAAGTCTTGCAGAGCAATTATTAACCTTCTGGACAGCTATGAGATTCCTTGGATTCTCGAGAACCCTTTTACATCAAAGTGTTGGTATCTGCCCTTTGTTCAGAATTTGGTTACATGTTCCCACACTCATTTGGTCATTGCTGATTTTTGCCAATACAGCAGGCCCTGGCGAAAGCGTACCAAGTTTTTGTGTGGCAATATTTGTTCTGATGATTTGCACCGGCTGAACCATCGGTGCAGTGGGGTGCGAACTTGTGACCGAACAGGCCGCCCTCATTTCCGATTGACAGGAAAAGGGCCTGGCGGCAAGCACTGGACAGCCATTGCTCAAGCATATCCCACTCAACTGTGTGATGCCTTCCTTAGCACATGCACTGACTGCGCACCTTCACTATAACCAGATCCATTACTAACTTCATGAGTGGACAACAATTCTGCTTTTGGGGAATTGGCTTTGGAATGTGGAGGAGGTCATACCTTGTGTTTTGTGTTTTGCCTCACTGGTTGGCTGTGAGCGTTTCAGGCTAGCAAAGCTATGACCGGGATAAGGACTCATGAGACACCAGATCCGCTGAAGAAAAGTGAGTGCCATCAGAAGTCTGGTGGTGTTTGCACGAGAAGACTGAGGTGGCATGAGTTTTCTGATTTGACGCTGTTTCCATGTTTTACCATTTGACACCGAAACCGGTGTGAATGAAAAAGCAGAAGACTGAAGAAGTGCCACAGCGAATGGATTGCCCCTTCTTAGGCACCATCAACAGGCACGTCTTAGACTTCGATTTCGCAACATGGGTGCTCAAGCACCCGCCCAGACCCTCCCGGAATGTGGAGGAGGTCATACCTTGTGTTTTGTGTTTTGCCTCACTGGTTGGCTGTGAGCGCTTCAGGCTAGCAAAGCTATGACCGGGATAAGGACTCATGAGACACCAGATCCGCTGAAGAAAAGTGAGTGCCATCAGAAGTCT